AAATCTTTTTGCCGCGCGCGCGCGCACAATTTTTCGATCAGCACCATCGAAAATCTTTGATCTAATATTAAGGCCATTGCTCTCCCTGGTCACCGTGTAATCCCTTTTCGCGAAGTGATATAGCTGCTTGCTCGTTACAGCAGCTGTCCGCGGATATAAATTTGCCGGACACATTCTCGACGGCCATTGGAGGAATCGCTTCCTGTTTCCTGTTACTCCTCCTCGACCAAGTGATACAAAGACATTGATAGGTTGCTAAGAGGCACACCGGACGGAGGTTGCCACTTGCCCGTCAATCGCTCCAGCCATATCATTAATCTTCCTTCGCTGTTATAACATCGAAAAAACGTACCACTTGTGGTCCCCGAGATTTTTGTATCTTTTTTCAACAAAAATCCAATACAATCAGAGTGCCAATTTACCATTGAATTTTTCGCTTTTACAACATTTATCTTGTTAGAAAATTTTGATATAAAGCGGAAAAATAATCGCAAAGTTCTGCGCTGAAAATTTATATTCAATAAGTATTCTACGAGTATAATTATAATATTGATTTTCCAATACGATTCCTGTTCATTCATTAACTTTCGTTACGATATGATTCATACCGCGCTAAAGTAGGATGCTCCTCGCGGATGGTAATTCAAAGACAAACTCGGTTTGCATGATCAGCCAAACGGAGAATTATTATGTAATCTTTGCCTTCTAAAGCGGATATCGGCTGTGACTATAGTTGCAGTAACGTGCTCTATCACGTATAACGGAAAGTTCAGGTATCCTCCTGTCTGGCGATGCCTGAAGGCTATGATAATTTTACGGCTCATTTGCATAATGCCGTCGGCCAGTCACGTGAATCACTTTGATAAGCCCAATAGTAATGGTTTACGTTCTCTCTCTGTCCGTGCGTCTGTTCGATTGTACCGGGATCTCTACGGGGAGTTTCGATTTACTGTTCGCCCGTGCCGACCGGCCACGCCACAATTTAATTTTTCGGTATTCACTGCGATATAAAGTATAGAACATAGACACGTAGAGTGTCCCGTTGGTATCACGAACATCCTGTGTATCCGGCGACAAAGGAAATTAAAAACGCGTCATCGTTATTGGAAAAACGTGACTGTGACAAGTGCTCGGATGACACAACGTTTAAAAGACATCGCGCAGCTGTCTGAAAGATATTTTAATCCTCCAGACGTCTTTCAGAGGTCTGTTAAACGCTTTTCAAACTTTTGCATTAGCCCGACAGTCTCGATACCTAAATACTGGCTAAATTAAGAAGTTGTTAATTACAAAATGGGACTGTTTTTCTTTCTCGTCCGCGAAATGCAGTCGTCACTTGCGTACTTGCATATCTTATCGAGCTGGAGTTTAGTTTCATGCTCTCAGAAAACAATATATACAGCAGGCGTACAAAAGTTAAGCCGCGCCGACTCGCGCTGAATTTAATAACGCGCGTACAATTAATTTTGACGCTCTCTCGTTTAAAGGGTAATACGAGACGAGGGATGGTATGTAAATAAAGACACCACCCACGCGCATATCAGATATTACTATAGATATATAATAACGTCAACTATTACAACTTCAATAGAACACCGCGACGTTCTTGCGGTGCCTTGTTCGCCCACCCGCGACGAACTCGAGTTTGGCAAATTGGCTTCTCAACTTACAATCAACCGCATTCCGCAAACGTGCTACACGTCCGCTCGATATCTATAATTCTCGGATGCAACGCTCGTCGAGAGGGATATCGGACTATCGATGATCGGACATGTACATATTATATACAAACTTTATTGTGCTAAGCGTTGTGTTGAAAATTTGGAGCAAAGTCATTGAGATTAGCCGAACGAATTTACTCATCGAAATCAATTATGTCTGTTCATCTTGTTTGTTTCAGCGTAGCGATGATCAAAGTGAATTATGCGAGATAAATCACGGGATGAAAATAATTTTTGCGAATTAATACAAATTCCGCATTGATATAAAAGAGAAATTTATATTCACGTCTCTTGTTGAACAATGAAGAATTATAGTCTCATTCATTTTACCGCGATAAATACTACCGCTTTTTTACCGCTTCAATGAAAATATCTCTTTCAATAAATTCTAATTACATCAGTATTTTTTAAAAATACTTTATTATAAAAAAAAACTATATATAGTTTCTATCGCGCAATTTATAACAATAATTCTGCAAATAAATAAAAGCAAAACTTTTCCGCGTTCAAAATATTGGATTAAATACAGAATAGCGGTGATATTTTCCGGGAATCGTTTGTACTCTCTCTCTTCCCTTCTCTCTCTCTCTCTCTCTCTCTCTCTCTCTCTCTCTCTCTCTCTCTCTCTCTCGCTTTCTATTAGAGAATATTACAGTTGTAATTAGCCTACGTTCAGCAATGACACGAAGAAGTTGCAACGAAATCGGAAAATACTCACCGCCGAGTCAACGACGGAGTTAGTCGGCTACTCGCAAATGACCTGTCACTTAAAAATTCAATTTTCCGTGACGTTCGTAAGAAAGTTCGCCTTCCTCGATGGAATTTCCGTACACCTCATTCCTCGATCCTCGGGTCAGAGGTGGTACAGGATGAAAATCACCCGGAAGAGCGAGAAACGCTGCCGGGAAACGAGGGAAATTTGTTCTGCTAATTCGGGAGATGTTTATTCTCCCAAAGCTAACAGCTGGCAGGACCCGAGACGCGTTAATTACGGAGCATGTCTAATTCGGTTAGCAGTTTTTCGACGTCGAACAGTGTCGTGGAATTATATAGCGAATTTTTCTACTTACACGCAAACACACCATAAAGTTATCTACTTACACGAGCTCCCTACAGAGCACGTAATTTATCTGAATATTTAATTTTATCACCAGCCCACCGACACAAAACGTGTAATGAATTAATTAGTTCTAAGTAGATCGTCATAAAAAAATATCAGAAACGTGCTCTTAATTTCTGTGTATAAATTTTTATAGTGTAATGAAGTAAACTGTAGCATCAATTTTTGATAAAAATTCTGCGCAAAATGCAATTTTACGATACAGGAAAACATCGTAAACGGAATTTCCTTGCATTGACGACGTGTATATGTAACATTATGACTCTATATTATTCATCATTCTTGAACGTTGCAAAATTTCAAAGTAATTTATATACATTTTACTCGCGAAGCGTGTTGTGACGAACGAATAAATTCCCGCTACGTGTCCAATACAATATGCGACCGGTATTCTTTTTTAAGTTAAGTTCTAAATAGTAAATTTTTCATTATTTAAATAAAAGCCTTGTAAACTATTTGGAAAGGAAGAGAAGAATTATTGAAGTAGCCGCAATAGAAGAATAATGCAATAAGACGAAAGAGAAACGCAACTTGGTAAGAACAACTTGAAATTCTTGACTTTACCAATCAAATCGTCCGTTGCTCCTATCGACTGCTCTCGATTTAATGCAATTCAGAATACATATAGCGAATTATGAATAACTCGGTACGTCGATAGAGTTCGACTTGAAATTATTGGCAGACTGCCTTTCGCCGAGCGATCCCGAGCGATCTGGCTTAAAGCACTTTATTCATGAGTCCATTCATTGTATGGAAATCAACTCAGACGCGATAGTGGCCCGCGGTATTTAAGAATATCCGGACGAGGAGTGCTTCGTATTTCCGTAATTGTAGATGAGTTGCATTCAAAATTTATCTCATCGCGCGGAAAGTTTACGGCAACGTGACTTTTCTGCCAACTTTTGGCATTCCTTCCCCTCTTTCAGTAAAAAATGCAACGATTTTAAATAATCGCAATCTCGGTTCAAATAATAAATGCTTAGCTAATTGTTTTTCTATATGAAAAGAAATTAATTATTGACTCGTCGATTCCGCAAGATATCATAAATCTATACCGCAACTATACTGCAAGCTGACATAAATCATTAAAATTAATTATTAATGCCTGCGAATGTTCTACTGAATAAATTTGTGTTCCTCATTATTAGATAAAAAAAGAGTATCGCTCAACCTGCTGATATAAAATCTAAACTACATGTCCTATAAAACCGGCAGTTACTCCAATCTCATTAAATCGCAATATCCCGCCGAAAATTGAGACTACCTTATAGTATATTTTATTCGTGATATACATTTCGATATAATCGTCCGCGCGCGTGTGATGAAAAACAATACGTCGTGTCGGTGTGGCCCACTTTACTAATACACTCGTGCTTTGTTCGAATGAGCGACAGGGTGTCGTTGCACCACTTTAAGTTTATTTGGGCCACCAGGAAATAGCAAAAAAATATTCGTTAATCCATTGCGTCAGATTACGCTTATAGAAATCTATCGCTTGGAACATTTATGCATTTGCACTTCGTAATAATGGGTTTTAAATTCTGATTATCGATTTCATTTATTTCATTCAATCACTAAAATTTCTCTTAATTACTGAGTGTCTAGAAGTGTCTATAAGTGGAAAGAATTATACTATTCATCGATTAGTCGATTATCTGTTAATAGCTCTCCGTGACCGTGATCACGGACAAATGTTACGACTGAATGTTCTTGCGAGAGATAACCCCTGATTACGCCGTGCGCGATTCTTTTTTGCAACAATCTCTTTCTATAATTTTGTTTTTCAAAGACAATCTTTTCAATTTATATTTTCATATTTTATATGGAATATATTTTTCATATTCTTCATATCTTGAAAACATTATTTTTCTATATGAATAAAATTTTTAAATTGAAAAGTTCTATTCTATAAATATAAAAAAATTTTTTACAGATTACAATTTTTTAATTTTTGTTATAATGCGATTATTCTATTTATGATGAATTTCTCAATCGCGCTTTTTCCCCTGCACAACGATTTATATTTTATAAAAATGAGTTTGCGACTAACGTGATTAAGCGACAGGTGACATAAAAAAATTTCGCGTGAGATTCGACAATTCTAAAAATCTCATGAAAAAAGCCGACGCAATAATAACAAATAGCGGGATTGTACTCACCCGTCAGATGAGGGAAGAACGTTATCAGGGGCAGCACGGCGCGCAGCCATCCTCCTCGATGATCCTTCATGCTGGATGTTTCTGCGAGCGGTATCGGGCAGCTCTGTTTTCACCCTCCTGCTCCGCAGACGACGACAACGACGACGACGACGACGACGACGACGACGACGAAACCGATCTCGTTGTGCCGCACTCGTCGCTTTTATTGACAGTTACTCACTGCTGCATCCCGGCACTGAACAACATCCGTGAACGACATACACGTCACTGTCATTCTCTCGTAGCCAATCTCGCGCGCCACTCGTCCGTCACCGCGCGATACATCATATTTCTGTTCCGATAAGATCCGTCATTTGCCCCGTTACGACAATCGTTGACTGTTAGCCGATTATCGTTGCTCGGCGATAACTCTTCGTGACCGCGATTGCGCACCAAGTTTATTGTTTTTTTTTTTTTCTAGATA